CACACACACACACACACACACACACCCCTTTCCCCTCACACACACACACACACACACACACACACACACACACACACACACACACACACACACACACATCTTTCCCCTCCTTACCTGAAAGGCTGAAACTTTCACACTTTTACACATTGCATTATGTATGATACACCGCAACAAAAAGGACAATCTCTACATAATTGGTTGAATCGCAAGAGCACCTGCCTGTCACAAGGCTCCTGTCCACACCAAGCTCCTCTGCCGTCCTGAGAATGACAAAACACAAAACATGACAGAATTAATCAAGCGAACTGGTGCTGGATTCGCATAGGCAAAATGATCAACAATGCTTTGATGTCTGGACAACAACTGTATGCATGCAACAAAAGACTACAAAACAATGCTAGTCCAGTGGGGCATGCATACAAGCTCATGCTCCCTCCAGACCTAGGGCCGCGTGCCATCGCATGGTATCTACATCTTCGCGGGCAATCCGATGTTCACGACTCGAGAGTAATGTTACGACTGACTAAAAATGACAGGTATCGGACTCCAGACACCCAACAAAAACGAAGTCGTACACATAATCATCAGGTCCCCTGCTATAAAAAAATTCTGGCTACCCTTCTAAAAGCACATTTCCTTTTCCACCACCTCCTCCTCCTCCTCCTCCGCCGCCGCCGCCGAGTTCCACAGTCAGCATGCATATTCATTCCTCCTTTCCTTAAAAATCCTTTTCTGCCTCCTTTCTCATCCCACTACTCTCCATCCTCCTTTCACACCCTAGTTCAAACTCGCATAGATTCTCTCCCTTTTCCACTCCCTGCTTTTTTTCCCCCTTCTTCCTCCTCCAACCCAGTGCCGCAGTGTGCATGCATATCCATCTCTTCATTCCTTCGTCGTTTTCTGCCTCCTCTTCTTTTCCATTTCACTACTTCTCTCCCTTCTCCTCCGACACCCTAGTTCAAACTCACGTCTCTTCTTTTCCATTTCCGTTTCCTGCTTTCCACTCCTCTCCCCCAGCCCATCTAGATTTTCCACATTCGGTTCTTCCACGTCATCCTGATCATCACGATGCATATTCCTATCTTCTTTCCTTACATTGTTTTCTGCCTCTTCCTCTTTTCCATTTCACTACTGCTCTCCCTTCTCCTCCTCCTTCAATACCGTAGTTCAAACTCACATCTCTTCTTTTCCCTTTCTGTTTCCTGCTTCCCGCTCCTCTCCACCAGCCCATGTCTAGATTTTCCACGTTCAGTCCTTCCAAGTCATCCTGATCATCAAAACGACAGCTGCAAATTTAACCTACGCACATCCTATCAGCTAACTCATCATGGTAGAGAATGGAAACAACGCATGCAAGATTCACAGGCTTAAAATAAATGTCCTCAAAAGCTAGTGAGGCTTGCCTAGTGCTTGTAGAAAGTACTAAGAACACGAAAGAGTACACCTTTTATTTCTAGTACTTTCAACAATAACGCGCACAAAAAAAAAAAAAAAAAAAAAAGGGTTCAACTCAGCTTTACACAGCGCTCAGACCATAATTTACAGCAGCACTCTTGTTTCGGTCCGACACTGAGTGAGGTCTCGAACAATCAACAAAGATTTGCCTGGTGTGAACTACCATTGCCATTGTATATAGGAAATGAAAAACTTACAAGGGATACCCAACCCATGCGGCAGAATGAATGGTACATAGCACTGCACATACGTGCCTGTTAGTGAACAGATCATGTGTTCAAATTTCAAATCCTAATGGAATGATACATAGCACTGCACACATGCGCCTTTTAGCAAACAAGTCAGGTGTTCGAATCCTGCCGGAATCCGATTAACAATACAGTTAGCAACTGCCCCCTTCAAAATAAATAAATAAATAAATAAATAAATAGATAAATAAATAAATAAATGAGACTAACGTCAAGGCAGAAAGTAACAAAAATTTGGCAAAAGAACAAAAACTTGACTGAAATAAGGACAGACCCTGAACTTGGGACTTGCGAAGTTAAAATTGCCCTGATCTGGCATACAAAAAAAAACATACTCAGGATTACACAGACCTTGCACTCAATATCTTGCAGTATACCACAGATCTTATACCCAAAACCAGCAGACTATCATCATCTTATTTACGAGATGAACCTGGTCCGTATCTTGCATGTGGTACACACCAAATCATCCTCGCCATTCACGTACAGTGTGATCTGAAGCTCTTGCTCTCTGGTCACTCGAGAGCCCAGGGGAAAAACTCTCTCCACCAGAACTTGCAATACTGAGAACCTATCACCATAAAATTGTTCACATAGACAGAGCCAAGGAGATGGAGCAACTTGCACACCCCCCATGCAGCCAGGGGCAAACAAAGCCCAAGATCCTCCGACTGATAGCAGTGCAGGCAAAGATGCATGGAAATATGCATAAAGAGATGCAAGGAAAGACACATGGAACTGGGACGAGCAGTCACCACACATACAACTGTTGCACACCTCAACCAATCTGCAGATTCACAATGCAAGCCATGACCCTCACAGTCCAAACATAATACATGACAGACATTATCAGGCATACTACATCATGCCCGGTGCAACGACGTGTACTCAGCAAAGAAAAAGGGCACCAAAACACTTTGTCCATACCTGTTTTGTCAATGCCACCCTCAACCCCCCACCCTCCCCTCCTCCCGACCCCGCTTCCCACGACCAAAAAATCAGTTCCAAGAGTGCTTTGTCACGTCATTGCAAATGCACATGAATGAAAATACCGACTCGGTTAAAAGTTTCTTACTTCAAATGTAAATCCGTTAAGAACTTCATCTCTTCAATCTCTTCAGTATGTCCTGCTCCACATTCCACTGCTCGAGCCCCTGCCTGGTTGGGCCCACACAACAACAACCATAACAAAGGTAGAGGTAAGAGAAGGATGATAAGATAACAAATAATACCGATAACAATAATGACAGTATTATGCCACGATAATTACGAATGGTTCTAAGAAGGACATTCAAAGCCAATGAATAGCGAGCTAGCTTCGAGTCAACAGCGATCTTGTTTATCATAATTTTCATTTATATTGTCACATATTCTATGAACTAAAAGAGTGCACTTTGTGAAACAACAAAGAAAAAAAAAAAAAAACAAGACCAACATGAAGGGCACACTGAAACCGTTCATTTTTTCTCGTTCTCAAACTTTTTTTAATTTCCCCTTCACCCTACCTCTCACATACAAGGCGCGCCATGTTGCACGAGCTGCCCACATCCCCGTGTGCCATAACGGCCCACTTTTACGCTGTGAGAAAGAGGCAGAGTAAGGGGGGAGGGGATAAACACAGGCAACAGAAGAGGAGAGAGGTAAACAAAGAACGGCAAAGGGAAGTACGGAGTGTGGAATGAAGATGAAGGCAAAGGGGAGGATAAGAAAAGGCTCAAGAATGGGTCTGCCCTTGACGGCAGAGACAACATATATTGTAAGGATTAGGAGGATGAACACATGGAAGACCTAGCTGAGCATTCTCAGTACCACAATTGCCACCACAGCTGGCATTGAGCATGCCCACCATACAGTCCCTACAAATGGCATGTCGATTGCAGGCCAAAATGAAGGAAGACCGCTCATCACAAAAGACCATGCATTCAGTACACCGCCCACGGCTGCAAACAAGCTCATAACAAGTAATCTACCTTACCACAGTCAAAGGGAAGACTCAGCTTCCAGTGCGCTAGCCTGAATGCTGAAGAGGACAAAAGGATAAAGGAAATATATAGTACTTTCACTTCAGTTCAATCAACTTCGATGTACGTATTCCATTTGAGGAAAGGTCTGGCACTGCAGCAGTGCTGGGCGAAAATCTACACATCCTTTTTTTGGCAACGTCAAACATTAAACACATGCCGAAAAGTCCAAATTCTCGAGAAATAAGTGTCGAAGGTGATGTGGTATAGTGCCTCCTTTCCACTCCTTGCCAATAGGATTGTAGTAAATAGAAAGTCAACCGCTTTCTTAGACAAGCACAGGTGACCGATCTTCTAAACCAGCACTACGAGTCCCCTCCATTCAAAAGAGTAGGCTGCATACAAATGAAGGGGGCGCGCTGTCCATGTACTCCCCTGGCTGGAGCGAAGGGACTCTTGGGGGAACGGACCACTCACTTTGTGTTTGCAACTCTTTTTTATCCAACTCAATCAAATGAGATTGTTCGATTCGTTTTGGTGCAAGAAGTTTAGCGTCTCGCTCCACCACTGTCCGCTGTCCACTGTCCTCAAAAATTGGATAGTGGTAGGATAGTCGTCAGACTCTCCAAAACTCGTAAAAAAGACATCACCACTCGACTACTATCCTCGGCTAGACTATCCAAGTACTCGAATCACAAAAGACAAATCTACCCAGATTTATTTTTATTTTTTTTTTGGACCATTTCTCGATTACTGCATGTCATCCTTGTGTAGGGATCATGCTAATCTTCTCTGTATCGTTCCAATTTTAACGGATGCACCGAAGGACTCTACCCAGATTTGCCCTCTCGGACTCCAGGTACACTCTCCAATTTCATCATGCCATTGTTCCTTCGGCTGAGGACGTTCCAAATAACCGCCGTTGCGGGCGGGGAACTGTCCAATATTGGAGACTGCATTCTTAAAGCCGATTCTGACAGTTATCGCCAAGTCTTCCAACTTGTGAAATTGGATAGTAGTGGAGCGATGTACTACCATCCAAAATCGGACAGCGGATAGTGGTGGAGCAAGACCCTTAGGGCCTCGCTGCACTACTCTCGAAATGTGCAAAACGAGAGTGAATCTTCCGCTAGAATATGGAAAGATACACCGCCATGATTTTTGTCTGTTGTGCATGTCGAGAGTAGTGCAGCGAGGCCCTTAGGCTCGGCAATTTACCATCCACCATACTGGCACTTCAATAGGAAGGCAGCGACTTTTTTTCTGGACAGGACACCATTCTCAGATATACACCATTGTGAAGCATGGCACAAGAGAGCTCTGACAGTAGCCTTAAAAACCAAGAGAAGCTGCAAATGCGCACAAGTGATTCCATAACAGATTCCCTAACAGAACCGCGAAGTGCATCTTCCTACAGAAAATGGACAGGCTCATCGATATTCTATAAATAGTAACGTGTATAATTTTTGACACCTTTCATGGGCAGATGCACTCGTTTTGTTTTTGTTTCATGTGCCTGCAAACGTCATTTTCACTGCCACCATAGCTTCTGGGCACCAGGTCGTGCCCTTTACAGCTAGAATATTGGATACAACTAGCACACAATTATGCCCACTACAACTGCCAGCACAGCTTCTGCCCATTGGCTAGAACCAGAAAATTTAAGCCCAGCAACTGCGCACCTGGTCGTGCCCTTTACAGCTAGAGAATTGGCTACAACTAGCACAATCATGCCCACCACAACATATAGCTACAGCATCATGCAGAAGGTAAGCCCCCATATCACGTGGCAAACAGAGCACTCCCAGCAAAGCTTCCAGGTGCCTGGTCTCACCTATACATATTGTCACATAACTATGGAGTTATGAACTAATAAAAGAGCGCACTTTGCAAAACAAACGGTAAAAAAAGATTGAAAAACAAGACAAAGATGAGGGGCACACTGAAACCATTATTTTTTCTCATTCTTCTTTTAACTCCCCCATCACCATGCCTCTATATGACGATCTATATATAGATCGTCAAACAGAGCTCAGTTGTCCGGCAGTCGTTGATGCTTAACCACAACCTGGGTTAAGGTGGATTATCAGTTACAGCCTAGGCTACCAGAGTGGCCCGGGGTCACTTGCCCGGCCGGGCCCAAAAAATAAAAAATAATAATAAAAAATAAAAAATAAAAAATAAAAATAATAATTAAAAAAAAAAAAAAAAAAAATGATGAAGAATTTCGATGCAACCCTGAGGCAAAAGTT